ACATTAACGACCACAGAAAATAACGGACTTATTATATTTCCCTGTGGTGTCCCATTTTCTATATTTATACTCTGAATATTCCTTCCCTATACTCACTTGTTTTTCTCTTCTTTATAAAAAATTCTTAATCCACCTAAACATACGGTCATTTATACCCATTCATCTAATTTTTAATAATAACCCATCACTCCACATATCATGTGCTCTCTCTAAATCAAAAAATACTGCTACAACACTCTTTATTCACTTGAGTAGGGCTGCCACAAACGATTATTTTAATAATCGATTAATCACAGATTAATTATCCGATTAGTCAACTAATCGGATCATACGTTAATTGAATATAAAACATAGAGCTTATCACGTCAGAATGCAGCTGCTATTATATAACCATGGTTAGATTTTAGCTATATGCTAACTAAAAATAATTGCTGTGGAAGGTAAGATATTACACAGGTTTCTCTTTCATTTTCTTAAAATGATCCCACACTTTGAGCTCCGTTGTCAGGCAGCCATGATACCAGAGCCTGTCTGTATAATGTCTTGTGACGTCCACGGTCTACCCCAGTTACCACTACTGTGCATGTGTGTCAAGGACAGAAAGGCAGATGTGGCAGTGGAAGGTGTCAAAGCAGTTTGGAGAGAAAAACAAAGAAAGAAAAAAGAAAACTATTAATCGATTATTAAATTAGTCATCGATTATTTTAATAATCGATTAGTCATCGACTAATCAACTAATCGTGGCAGCCCTAAGATGTGAAGAAAAACAACTTTATGAAGGAAGAAATAATCTGTTTTAAGTTTTTTAAACTATAACTTAGTGCTGGAAGTTAAATCATAAAGAAGACGAATAAAACACAAACAAAACACCTTTGAATCAGCAAGTCTACAATAACCCTGAAGTAAGGCTGCCATGATCAGTCAACTAGTCACGATTATTGTCAACTATTAAAATCGTCAACTAATTTAATAGTTGATGCCTGGTTTTTTTTTTTATTGTTTTTCTCTCKAAACTGCTGCGGCACCTTCCACTGCCACATCTGCCTTTCTGTCCACAAASATGCACAGTAGTGGTAATTAGGGCTGCCACGATCAATTATTTTTATAGTTGACTAATTGGTGATTAGTCGACTATAAAAAAAAACAAAGTTAGAAAAAAATGACTCATCGACAAATTAGTTGTTGATGATTTTAATAGTTGACAAAGTGACTAGTCGACTAATCTTGGCAGCGCTACCCTGAAGTTGTATCAATGGCTTTTATATTTTGCTGGACTCTCCCTGCAGAATCACCAGAGGGGTTTGAGTACCCCTGTGATCCTGGGGGCTATCTTGTRTGGGACATCAGTCACTGGTAGGGTCTCCCATGGTAAACAAGTCTCAGAGGAGGGGTCAGACTAAGAGCAATTTAAAACCCTTGATGGAGGTGGCAACGTGAGCATCAGGAAACCATCATCTACAAAGGAAAAACCAGGACACCTCCCTTAGGCTGAACCCCAGAAGTCAAGGTGCCTTGACTTTTGGGGTTCAGCTGGGCCAAACCCAAAACAGAGATATGATAACACCTCCATGGAGGCCCACCACCTGCGAGGAGGACCCCCAAGGTCAGGTGCCACGCAATCCTGGTAGCATATAGTCCCTGTCTGTGCTGATTCCTGTCAGCATGAATTAGCTCTAGAGACGTGAACGTCACCTCACTGGGTGGTAAAGAAGGGCAGCTTGTATAGTTGGGCTCACTTCTACGTCCTTGGGCTTTGGAACTTGTGGAGAGGGGCAGGACTCTCTCTCCTACTCTGGAATTGTCCAGAGAGATGAATGAGGTTTTTGGCAGGTGTGGGGACACTCACAAGCCCCCAGCTGATGCCTCAGTGTTGGAGTTTCCCTCTGTGGTGGKTCTCTGCAGCCTCAGGAGGGAAGGTTGACTGTTGTTTGTACCAACGCACCAAACATCAGATTACTCGACCTTGAAATCTCTGAACTGATTCCTGGATGGGATGCCATCTGGTGATTCTGCTCTACTAATTGACTTTAATGCCCATTAGGGCAACGACAGAGTTTTCTGGAAAGGGGGTGAGTGGGAGGAACATCCAAGTAACCCAAAACTGACTCTTCTGCAAGGTATGGGTACCAAACACCATGTTTGAGCACTGGGTTGTTCACAGGTGTACTTGGTACCAGGCCACCTTTGGCCAAAGACTGATTATAAATTTTGTAATCATGCCATCTMACATGCGGCTCTATGCCTTGGACACTCGGGTGAACTGGGAACATCTGGTGCAGTCCCCTGACCTTAAAGGGATCCCCGATTAGGGCTGCCACGATTAATCGACTAATCGACGACTAATCGATTATTAAAATAATTGATGACTAATTTAATAATCAATTAATCGTTTTATTTTTTTTTCTCTCCAAACTGCTTTGACACCTTCCACTGCCACATCTGCCTTTCTGTCCTTGACACACATGCACAGTAGTGGTAACTGGGGTAGGCCGTGGACGTCACAAGACATTATAC